TTGAGGCCATCTTCGGTATTACGGATTGAGGCTATCTCCGTCATAGGGAATAAATGTTAAATTGGTTTGACTTCGGTGAAAGTCTAAATTGGTTTGACCGGTGGTCAAAGAGTTAAATGGAAACCCGTAACACCTAAATCGTTTTGAAAAGAAAGAAAATAAGTTGACTGTTGGTCAACCGTCTAAAGAACCGAATGTAAAGTTGAATTGATTTTTATTAAAAGGATAAACATATGCACGATCTTAATTGTTGAATTATTATGTTTATTCTTGTGCTACAATGGAGTACCACTCAGCGTCAATGCTGAGCGGATAGCGTTGTTTTCCTTTTTGCTATCCGTAGGTGATCAGACAGATGAACCTAGAGCCGATCCCAGAAGGCATTGAGGAGGAGATGTATGATGGCGTGGCTGTCTCTTTAATCTGCTGATATGCTTTATTTAATTAACTTTAATGCTTATTACGTTTTCGGGCAAGATCCCAAGTTGTTTGACTTTAAAAAGGCTTCCGCATTATTTTAAATTACTCCGATGAATTTTTATATGTATTGATAGAACGTTTGTTTAAAATTGTTTTGAAAATGTCGCAAATTCGGATACCAATTCAGTGACACACCGGTCCGCTGTCTCACGGGTTTGGGTCATGCGGGTTGGGGTGTTACAGACAGCGTCGTCCGCCTTCCCACCTTAGTGATTATATCGTCAATTCTATTCAATCTCATGTCTCGTTGTGTTCATCTCCTCCACGGTCTTTATCTTCAGGTACGCGCTATCCTATTGCCAACTTTGTTTGTTATGATAAATTGCATGACAGGTACCGTGGCTTTCTTGGGGCTATTAGCCCGCACTTTGTTCCTAAAAATTATTCTGAAGCTGCTCCCCATGCCACGTGGCGTGCAGCTATGCAAGAGAAACTTCAGGCTCTCGAGAATAACCACACTTGGGATATTACTGAGTTACCATCTGACCGAACGGCTTTGGGATGTCAATGGGTTTTTAAAACCAAATTCAATTCTGACGGTTCTAAGGAACGGGACAAAGCGCGCCTAGTTGTGCTTGGCAATCATCAAACGTTGGGGGTTGATTACACAGATACCTTTGCCCTGGTAGCAAAAATGGGTTCTGTTCGGGTTTTGCTCTCCGTTGCCGTGGCCAAGGGTTGGCAAGTGCACAAGCTTGACGTCAACAACGCTTTCCTCCATGGTGATTTGATTGAGGAAGTGTATATGCGCTTACCACCCGGTTATGCTCACCTTCATCCAGGAAAGGGTTGCCGTCTGCGTAAGTCTCTCTACGGCTTACGCCAATCACCCCGCAATTGGTTTGGTAAACTTACATGTGCCCTACAACGATACGGGTTTCGTTAGGCCCATGCTGATCATACTCTGTTTATTCACCGCTGCGGTTCTGATATTCTGGTTGTCCTGGTTTACGTTGATGATATTTTGGTTGCAGGTAATAACTCCACCTTGTGTGCCTCTTTCAAATCCTATTTGAATATGTGCTTTCGGCTCAAGGACTTGGGGCCATTATCCTATTTTTTGGGCATTGAGTGTGCTCGGTCAGCCACGGGGATTGTTCTGTGCCAACGCAAATATGCGTTGGATATTCTTTATGAGGCAGGTTTATTGGGGTGTAAGCCGGCGGACACCCCCATCACGCCGAACTATAGTCTGGCTCGTTCTACTAGGGCTGAGCTACGGGATCCGGGTCAATACCGACGCCTTGTAGGTCGATTGATCTATCTCGCTATTACTCGGCCAGATCTGTCTTATTCAGTTCATGTTCTCTCTCAGTTTATGCATGCCCCACGTCTTGATCATATGGATGCGGCGAAGTGTTTGCTTCGCTATTTGAAGGGCCACTTAGGACATGGAATTCTTCTGCGTAGTGATAGTTCTCTTCAACTGTCTGCTTATTGTGACTCCGACTGGGCATCTTGCCCCCTTACTCGCAGGTCTGTTAGTGGTTATTTTATTCACTTGGGTGGTTCTTTTGTTTCCTGGAAAATGAAGAAACAAGCTACCGTGCCGCGTTCCTCCGCTGAAGCTGAATATCGTGCTATGGCTAACGCTTGTGCAGAGGTCTGGTGGATTCAGGGTCTTCTTGGTGCGCTTGGTGTTACTCCACCAACAACGCCCCGCTTATTTTGTGATAATAAATCTGCTTTGTTTATTGCTGCAAATCCTGTTTTCCATGAGCGCATGAAGCACATTGACATTGATTGCCATATCGTCCGTGAGTGTGTTCATCGCCGAGAGATCACCACAGGTTATGTACCTACACGGTTGCAGTTAGCAGATCTGTTCACCAAAGCTCTGAACAGACCTCTGTTTTCTTTCTTGCTCTCCAAGTTGGGCATTTGTGATCTTCATGCTCCAACTTGAGGGGGAGTGTTAGCATATATAGTTCTACGACGTGAATACTCAGAGGAAAACAATTCAACGTTTTACAAATTTCTACAAAGAGCTTAAAGGATTGATCGTACTACTCATACCAACAAGGTACATCTTCTTTTCGAGAGCTCGTCACTTAAAAACTCCAAAGTTAAGCATGTTTGACCTGGAGCAATTTTAGGGTGGGTGACTCCCTGGGAAGTTTTCATTGGGCGCGCATGACTAAGAACAAAGTGTGCGAGAATGACTTGTTGTTGTTTGTGGTGTCAGTCTACAATCCTATGAGCGGGCGCTTACCGCTAGGGTGGGGGCCGGAGTGTTACAAAATATTTTTCCAAAAATTTTGTACTCTACTTTGTTACATGTGGTGTTATTAGTATAAGGAAAAAGCATTTTCTAGGAAAAATATATTCTCATGGAGGAAAAAAATTTTGGTTTGCACTTGAAACACAATTCTTAAGCTCTCTCTACCCGGTCTCTCTCCACCCCTTACGCCTTTCCATCCCGTTCCACCGCCCGCCTCCACCCCACCCCCTTTTTCAGCCCCCACCGCCCCGTATCACCTGTCACCCCTTACTTCAGCCCCACATACACTATTGTTATAGCTCGTCCACTCCCACGTACCCCGCCACCCCACTCCTCTTCCTCCTACGCTCTCCTATCCCCTTCCCTGTCCGGCCGTCCACCCTCACCCCTACCCCACCCACCCTTACCCCTTATCTCCACCTATCATCCGTCGTCACCCGCCACCCGCCCACAAACCTTGTCCCCCGCCTTGCCTCCCAGCCACCTTGAGTTGCTTGTTATGCTACTAAAATAATATGAAGTATTCCCTCCGTTCCTAAATAGCGCTCATGATTTAGAGTTTTATGAGATTTATGGAAATGATATTTTGTGTTGATTTTTTTAAATTATTTTTGATGTAATGGATAAAAGTAGAATGTGATGGATATATTTTTAGTCAATAAGTTTGGTCTAATAGATACAGTTAGAACTAGTGGAAATAAAAGTGATTTTTTGATACAAAAGAGAAAAAAATATGTGAAAAAGAAAAAACAGAAATGAGAAACTTTTAGAGACGGATAAAGTATTGAATTGTTTCAAAATAGGTTTTACAATATTTATTTTGTGATATAAAGAATGGAAACTAGTTTTTTAAGAAAAATAATTCTTCCTACTAAAAACCGGAAAATATGATTGGAAAAATAATTTTTCTTAGAAATTATTTAGTGATAAAAAATTAAACTTATACATTTGAAACGTATATCAAAACTTCTACCACAAATAAGTTTTGATAATTTTTTTTATCAAATGATAAATTAAAATATGCAAAGAAAAAATTTATCTAGAGATTATTATAGTAAAAGTGTAAATCTTTTTGAATTCAATGCACTCCATGTGTATTAACATTAATTTCTCAGTTTGACTTTTAAGATAAACTCTTTAAACTTTAACTCTATATTAAACAAAAAATATATTAAATTTTCATATAAATTTATTATCAATTGATTCATTTTAAAACATAGTTTTGAAATATACTCCATATTATTTTTATAATTTATATTTATATAAAAATAGAGATATTACTCCAAAGTAGTTACTCCGTAAAATTTTGTATTGAAAAGAGTAAAATGTCAAAAAGGAAGAAGTAATAAATAGTGAGCATAAAAATATAGAGTAGACAATTGCACGACAAATAGTCAAACTAAGACTGCCCCACTCACTCTTTTAATTTGCTCTTCAATAATGCTAGATCACACCATTCTTATACTATACCGAACTTTAACATTTCATACTAAAAAATCTATGGATTTTGATAATATGAATTTGTCACTAAATAGGTACTTAAGAGAAATTGACAAACAATAATTGATTATCTGTCACATACAATAATCATCTGTATACATCTATAAAATTTTTAATGTTAAATTTTTGATGTCAAAATTTAAATTTCTAAACATGGTTGTGTTTTTAGTTGAGTTTCTTGTGTGACAAATCTGATAGGTTATTAGAAGACTTTTTCATATTATGTATCCTAGAGCGGCAAGAAATTTTAATTAACAAAAAATTGATCCGCGAATGATGATTAAAATATTTTGAAGCACTTATAATGTTATATCAGTAAAATTGATAATTCATATCCAACCATTTTCTTAAAAGGCAATTTATCTAAATAGGACTAAAATATAATGACTTTTTCAATATAAGATCATATATTTTTATTTTCTAATATAGGAACATTGGTCATTATCTATTAGTCATTATTCAACTAAATGTCCAGCATCAGTTGGGCATTATTCTTCTCATTAGACATTATTAAGTTCTATTTAGAGAATAAAGAAGTTTAAGTTCTGCATTGGAAAATAACTTATGACTTTCTCTTAAACTCCCACCCAAGTCCCCTTCCCCCTCCCTCCCTAATACGTTACTCTGTATTAGATAACTTTTGCGTATTTTGGACTCCGTATCTTAAAGACATTTAGGGTCCGTTTGGTACACGAAATTGATAGAATTGGAATTGAATTGGAATTAAAATTCCATAAGGCCCCATTTGGTACACGGAATTCAAACTATGGAATTGGAATTGAAGACTTTAATTCCAATTCTGGTGTTTGGTAGCACAAAAATTATGTGGATTTGGAATTGATAGTGCAAAAAATGAATTGGAATTGGTGAATTCAATTCTATGGAATTGAATCCCATGGAATTTGAATTTCAATTCAATTCCAATTCCATCAATTCCGTATACGAAACGGACCCTAAGATTCAATTCCATAGAATTGAATTCACCAATTCCAATTCATTTTTTGCACTAACAATTTCAAATCCACATAATTTTTGTGCTACCAAACACGAGAATTGGAATTGAATTCCTTAATTCCAATTCCATAGTTTGAATTCCGTGTACCAAATGGGACTGTTTGGTATACGGAATTGACAGAATTGAAATTGAAATTCATGAGATTTATTTCCATAGAATTGAATTCTATCAATTCCAATTCATTTTTTACATTATCAATTCCAAATTCATATAATTTTTGTACAGCGAAACACTAGAATTGAAATTGAAATTTTTTATTCGAATTTGATAGTTTGAGTGTTTTAACTAAGCTGTCCGTAGCATTTTGTCACGTAGCGCTTTTCTTTTTCTTTCATTTTTTTTCCTCTTCAAAATGTGAGTCTGCTTTCTTCACCAACAATACTCTGTGACATAATTACCGGACACCTAACAAACACTGCGTGATACGGAGTAATTAATAACGGGGCATACTATATACTCCCTTCCCCCAAATTATTTGTCACATTTCTATTACTAAGATAAAATATTAAGTTTTTTCAATTAATTTTATTTACATATTAATAAAAAAATAAAAAATAAAAATTACATATCAAAAAACTACATGAAAAGCTCTTCAAAATAAGAGGTGTCAAATATATTTTATTTTATCAAATAACCAATGAAAACGTAGAAATAAACAAAAGTTCCCGCGACTGTTGAAAAAGCAAATGTGGCAAATAATTTGGGACGGAGGAAGTATGCCAAAATTCGTACTCCATTTCTATACCAAATTTATGCACTAACATTTTGATGGTTTACACTGACACAAATTGTTGGTGCGTTTTAATTTCAAAAATTGACACTGACACAAAGTGTAGGTACGTTAACAAAAATTAACAATACACCAACACAAAATGTTGATGCATTTTTACGGTGTACAAATTCTTGGGGTATAAATAACATTATCCTTAATAAAGAATGGTTTTAGAGCCACTTCAAGAATCTAGGGTCACCAAAAAATGTACCTCAAGTCGTATTTCAAAGAAAGGTACTGATATTTAACAGTTCATACTGACGCAAAATATTAGTTTAATTAAAAAAATTGCACTGACATTTCTTGTCAATGTAAATCATCACGCTAGCACAAAATATCGGTGTATGACTTTGAGGTACAAAATTGGTACAAATTTTGATTGTACAAATGACTTGATCCTTTCCTGGCCTATTTAATAAGCATGTCCGCCTTGCCATTAATCCTCAACCCTATGAGTTTCTTCTTCTTTCTTCTTCTTAGCTTGCTGATCCATTAATTACAGTGGTTTTAATTATTTCTGCTATGGCTTCTCCCTTTGTGTCCCGGCTCGTCCTTTCCTTGAGCTTCTTAGCTCTCTTCTTAGCTGCCTACTCCGTTTACCACAACGCCGCCGTGGATCAAGGCCACCGCCGCCCCCTCATTAAGGCGGCGATCCCCAGTTTGCTGGACGGCGCAGCGATTGAGTCGGCCGCCGACTTGCTGTCCTACCTCGGCCTCGGGAGATCCTCCGGCAGACTTTCCGACCAAGCGTGCGTGTTCTCCGCCGTGAAGGAAGTCGTGGACGCCGCCATCAACAACGAGACTCGGATGGGCGCCTCCCTCATCCGCCTCCACTTCCACGACTGCTTTGTTGACGTAAGCGGAATATATCTTTTTGTCCTGTCCAATACTCTCTCTCTATATCGTCATTTAACTATCCATTTCCTTATTTTGAATGATCTATGACGAGAATCTATGAGGTAGTAAATCTAAGTTACTTTTTGTTTGGGACCAAAAGTCGAGGTGATGAGATCGATTCCTGACAACGTCACTGACAGTATTATCTAGCTTCATATGCGCACCGAGCACAAGACAGACTATCAAAATACCATACGATTACGATTACATCGTAATTTACTCCTTCAATGCTTTGCCATATCGTCGTGGTATGGGTGCCCGGAATGAACGTTCCACTCAGATCCGGAATCAGAACGACAGACCACTCGGATTTAACTTGTGATCCTCACTTGAAAGAGTCAAAGTGTTCTCATTCCACAGCAAGTTGTGTTATTTAATTATAAATGAAACAATTTGATTTTTTCAAAATAGTCAAACCCATCAATTTGGTGAAATATTGGAGAGAGTGTATTGATCTAATTGTCGATCTACAGGGTTGTGACGGTGGAATCCTCCTTAACGACACAGCCAACTTCACCGGGGAACAAGGTGCGGCCCCGAATAGCGACTCCGTGAGAGGGTTTAACGTCATAGAACTAGCAAAGCAGAACGCCAAAACCAAATGCTCCGATACCCCTGTCTCCTGTGCTGATGTCTTGGCCATCGCTGCCCGTGATTCTTTCGCCAAGGTAACTTTTATTAGGAATTAATAAAAATTGTACTCCCTCCGTTCCACAAAACCCTTCCGGTTTTGACTTTGGGGGAAAATAAGGAAAGTGTAATTTTGGTTGACTTTCCAATTTTGCCCCTGATGTGATGGAAAAAAGTAAGATGTGATAGTTTGGTTATTAGTGAAAAAGTATGATGTGATAGGTATGGTATGAAAAAGTAGGGGTAAAAGTGGTTTTTTAATAGAAAGTGGAAGTGTTTAGTGGAAAGCAAAAAAACGAAAGAGGAATAGTTTTGTGGAACGGAGGGAGTATCTAACACGACTTGTTCAAACGCAACAATGTTTTGCCGGGTGTTACAGTTCACAGGTCAAACGTACAACGTGACGATAGGCGCCAGACGCGACGCAAGAACCGCAAACCTCACCGGAGCCAACACCCAACTTCCTGCTCCGTTCGACAGCCTCCTCGTCCAAACCCAGAAGTTTGCCGACAAGGGGTTCACCCAGAGGGAGATGGTTGTTCTGGCAGGAGCGCACACGGTGGGATTTTCCCGCTGTGCGATCGTGTGCCAGAACAACAGCATCAACCCCAACAGAACCGCCACCCTGCAATGCAACTGCTCTGCCCCGACCATCACCGGTCTGGTTGGACTCGACCCCACTCCCGCCGCTTTCGACAATAGGTATTTCCAGCAACTGGTCAACGGTCAAGGCCTTCTGTTCTCAGACGCCGAGCTCATGACGAATGGCACCACCGCCGCTGCCGCGAGGAGGTACTTGAATACAACCAGTGCTTTCCTTTCCGACTTCGCCGCTGCCATGGTGAAAATGAGCAATTTGCCACCTTCGAATGGAGTTCGGCTCGAAATTCGTGACGTGTGCAGCCGTGTCAACGTCAATCGTTCTGTTGAGTCTATGTGAACACGTTACTACGTATCAAGGCTTTAGCATCACTTATTATATCGGCATCGGTATTTTTATCGAAGCAAATACTAGCGATGCAATTGCTCCCGTGTAATTGTGTCAGTTGTAAAATAAGCGATGCAATAGACCTTTTTAAATAAGTTTATTAAAAAAATTTAAGAGTTCTAGACTTTTATGTAATTGTATTTCATAATTTTCAATAAATATTGGTTGCACACCTAATATTGAATCAAATGCATTTCACTTTAAATCAAACCTAGCTTGATAGAGTGCGAAGAGGAGGTTAACAGGAGATGTTGCATTTCACTTTTTATATACTTGGTATTTCTTTTCAAAAGAGGAAATGATCGTTCATTTAATCGGAAACAAAAGAGATACTCCGTATGATGTTTATTTTAAGATGAATCAGGTTTTATTCGAGAACATTAATTTTGATTAGAATTAACATTTTGGATAAAATCTAGGGAGAATTTCTTAGATAAAAGTAAAAACAATGAAAATATCAAAATACAAGTCACGAGTCTTTTAAGACTAAAAAGAGTTCACACTGCCACATTTACCAAATTGTGACATTGTAACTGTTATATTCTCACCGCCACACTGTCATCCGCCGTCGCGAGTCGCTAATGATTGACTAATCACACTAATATTGTACTCGCACCACTTTTCCATCACATTGCCAATATGTACTCACACAATATGTACTCATTATACTCCTATTTTGGCTTTAAAAGATTTAGAATTCATATTTTGGTATTTTCATAATGTTTTTTACTTCTATCCAAAAACATTTTTTTAAAATTTAATTATATAGATTAATTTTAAAAATGTTAAAACTAAAAGTTATGTTTAGATATCAATTTGAAAAATGTTAACACTAATTTTCAAAATTTAATTATCAATCATTGTAAATAATGTTAAACAAAGGGTTTTTACGCAAAATTTCAATGTTTTAGTCTCGTCTTTAAAATACTGATTAATGTACACACATTATTTTTCAAAATGAATGTATTAATATCAAATTTATATTAAAATGCAATATATTTTTTCTATAATACAAAATCAAAATTCAAAATATTTGATCGTGAGTCAAACTGAAAAAATAATATAGCACAAAAAGGTAAGGAGCATCATTATTTACATTGCATAAAAAGAAAATACTCCACTAGACACATAATTTTTTTAAAGAGAAAAAAATAAAAGATAATGTTTTAAAGAACAGAGAAAATATCATTTTTTACAAGATACTCCCTCAGTCCTGTTTTAAATTGTTCGTTTGTCTTTTGTTTCCGTCCCAAAATAAGTTATCTCTTAGTTGTTATCGTAAACTTTTATGAACAAAATAACTAAATTACCTTTAAAATAAGTTTCTTTTCTCCACCGTACCTTCTCATTCATCGTCACTTCTTCTAAAAAGTAATGACAATTTCGAGAAATCAACTCTATTTTTTATTTTTCTTAAATATTCCCAAAAGTCAAAAAAGGTGATTTGAATTGGGGCGGGGGAGCATTCCGTAGAGGTATAAGTATTACTCCCTCTTATTAAAACTAACTTCGTAGTTACTATTCACACAGTTAAACTTAAATCACTTTCTTTACTTATTTCTTATAGTAATTTGATAAAATAATACTCCCTCCGTCCCAAAAACTCCGACACGTTTCGAAAAAACTGCGTCCCGTAAAGTCCGTTACAAATTTATTAAAAAACCATTTTTACCCCTTACTTTTTTTCATACCCTACCTATCACATCATACTTTTTTCCTAATAATCTAACCATCACATTCTACTTTTACTCATCACATCAAGGGTATTTTTGGAAAGTCAATACCAAAATATCTCTTCCTTAATTTTCTAAAAAATCAATATGTATTAATCTTTGTGAGACGAAGGGAGTACAATCTCATCAACTCTCATTTTGTAAAATTTTTTATTTAATTTTTAATCTACCAAATCTGGTAAATACAAATGTAGAGATAATTTTTGGGGATATATTGATCAAAATAGGGAGTATATTAAACAAGGAGTCAAAATTTACAATTGTACGACAAAAAAGTCAGACTACTTACTACTCCACCCACCAGACAGTCTCAGTTTTTATTTCATCCGTCCAGAAATAAAATTATGATTTTTGACTTAAATTATTTTCAAATCATTTTATATAAAAAATGGTATGGAATTAAAAAATAAAAATTACATATTTAAAAACTACATGAGAAGATCTATAAAATTAGAGATGAAATGACTATATTATTTTATCAAACAAGACACAAAAAAAGGTCAATGAATTGAATAAAATTTGATACTCTAAATAGTGAACGAAAACTTTATTGTTGAACGGAGGAGTATTTAAAAAAAATAAAAATTTAAAACTCAGTTTGCTTTTTTCATCAACAATAATATTTTATACCTAACAGATAATAATAAAAAAAAAGGTTTCAGGACTATGAGAGACTTCAAGAATTTCCTACTTGTATTTAATAAGCATATCTGCCTCATAACCCATTAGCCTCAAACCTTCTTCTTCTTGATCCACTGATTACAGTAGTTTAATTATTGTTTCTGCTATGGCTTCTTCCTTTGTGTCCCGGCTCGTCCTTTCCTTGAGCTTCTTAGCTCTCTTCTTAGCTGCCTACTCCGTTTACCACAACGCCGCCGTGGGTCAAGGCCCCCGCCGCCCCCTTATTAAGGCGGCGATCCCCAGCTGGCTGGACGAGGCAACGACGATTGAGTCGGCCGCCGACTTGCTGTCCTACTTCGGTCTCGGGAGATCCTCCGGCAGACTCTCCGACCAAGCGTGCGTGTTCTCCGCCGTGAAGGAAGTCGTGGACGCCGCCATCAACAACGAGACTCGGATGGGCGCCTCCCTCATCCGCCTCCACTTCCACGACTGCTTTGTCGATGTAAGTATAGATTCTCTCCCCCTTTGTTTGACGAAGAAATTTAAAAAGAAAAAAGAAAATAAGAGGAAAGAGAAGAAATGTACGGAGTATTACCGAAATGGTCATATACATTACTAAAAAAGTGTAGTAATTTGTTCAGGTATACTGTCACATTAACACAATGCAAAATCACGTTATTATAGTGCAAAGTCTTATCCCAAATCAAACATAGTGTTAAACTTTTTGGAATTATTACTACATCCCTTTTTTAGTATTCCGTTCCATTTTATAACGTCTGTTTCGGTTTACGATGTTTGACTGAAATTATTTTCAAACCATTTTATATAACAAATGGTATAGAATTAAAAAATAAAAATTACATATTAAAAAACTACATCAAAAGATCTACAAAACTAGTAGTGACAATAATATTTTATTTTATCAAATTGCTAATGAAAATAGAGAAAGAATGTGAATGAAGTTTAACTATGTGAATAGTAAATAGGCATTATAATTTGGGACGGAGGGAGTACTTTTTTCATTTTTTAGTTAATTGTTTTTTATCTTTAACCTATAATGAAATAAAATATATATTTTGTATTAATTAGATAAAATAATGTTTTTCAAATATTTTATATAATAAATCTAATAAAACTATTTTTGTGTGAATATCTAATATCAGTTGTATTTAATTTTAAAGTAAAGTTTAACCAAAAAAATTTAAAATAGACACACTCAAGAAGGGAGTATCTCGTATTGACAGTGTTTAGCTTTAATTTTTTCAAGAATAATCTGAAATATTAAAAAATTATTCAAAAACCTAATTCTAATTAAAAATACTCCCTCCGTCCTAAAACGAAGAAAAATCCCAAGTTTTTTCAATCTATTTTATTTAAATATTGGTATAGAAATAAAAAATAAAACATACATATTTAAAAACTACATCAAAAGTTCAACAAAACAAGTAGTGATAAGAATATTTTATTTATCATATATGCCATGAAAAAACAAAAATAAATATAAATTTTCGTGAAGTTGGAATAGTGCTCTGGGAAGAAAGTTTTAGGGTGGAGGGAGTATATTTGTACGTCCTGCTTCACTTCAAATACTTATCCTTTTTTGGTTCTTTGATATTAGTTGGGGGCTTTTTATATTTTAAAAAATTATTACACCGTATAAATTATTCCCTTCATCCTAAAACTATTCACACGGTCAAACTTAAATAGCTTTTTTTATATCTATTTTCGTTACTTATTTGATAAAATAATATAGTTTTGTCACATCTTATTTTGTAGAACTTTTAATGTAGTTTTTAAATATATAAATTTTATTTTTTAATTTACATCTACAATCAAATAAATTGAATTAAAAATAAATTCGATCAAATCTCATAAAGACAAATGGAAAGATGTTTTTAGGACGGAGGGAATATGACGTGGAAGTAGATTAATACTCCGTAATAAATAAGTGTAAAAGTAATTTTTTAATAGAAATGAAAATGATTTCCTGGACAGGCAAAAAAAGAAAAAGGAATAAGATGTGGTTTTTGTCATTGCTAACAGAAAATAATTACTCCCTCCGTCCCAGAGTATTTGTCCACTTTCATTTTTACACAACATCCAATGCACTTCTTTAATCCATTTTATCTTGTAATTTGTATATTAAAAAATTATAGAAATTATATATTACTCCCTCCGTCCCGCTATATTCGTCCACTTTTGACTTTTGGAACTGTTCATCTAAGCACTTTGACTCATCAAATTCTCTCAATGTGTAAGTCTAAATATAGTCATGCGTGATCTTGTTTGATTTGTCTTAACATACAGATTATTAATATATAATTTTTATAATTTTTTAATATACAAATTACAAAATAAAATGGATTAAAGAAGTGTATTGGATGGTGTGCAAAAATGAAAGTGGACAAATATAGTGGGACGGAGGAAGTAATAATCTATATGTTAAGACGAATCAAACAAGATCACACATGACTATATTTAGGCTTACACATTGAGACAATTTGATGAGTCAAAGTGTTTAGATGAACAGTTCCAAAAGTCAAAAGTGACAAAAACTGGGGGACGTAGGGAATACTCTCTATAGATAAGTCTAAAATTAAAGTCGTTAATCTCTTGTTAAGCTATTATCGGACCAATCTCGGGTTTACTAGAATAGTAATTTTAGGTTAGAGACTTTTTCATTGGGCCCGGTTGAACAAGTTGGGGGTATGTGGGACCCATATCTCCCATAGTCTATCACTATCGCCTTTACTTTTCCTCATTTCATCCGTACCATGCCAACTATTCATCTCATCCTATATTTAAGACTAAAATTAATTGTGCTACTTTGGTTTTATAAAATTTTAAGAGAATATTGATTACTTGATGAAAATGTGAAAAATAGGTGTGTGAAATTTTGACAGATATTTTAAAAGAATTTTATTTTATCAAATTTTTAATGAAATTACTTGAATAAATAAAAATACTTGCAAAATAGTGAAATATGTAAATCATTTAGGGAGTTTATTGAATACTTCTTCCATTTTTAATAAACTTGTTTTTTGATTAACTTACTAAATTATTTTTTTTAAAACTATTTTATTTGTAAAATAGTATAGAAATAAAAAAATAAATTACATATTATAGTTTAAAACTAAATCAAAGCTAACAACGTCTGGCAGTAAGACACTATTTTATTAAATGGTTAATGAAATTGGGTAAATAAATAAAAATTAATGAGAGACCGAAATAATAATATCAAAATTTATTTAAAGACCGGAGAAGTAAATATCATAGTACGGGATATAATTGAGTAGTAAAAAGATGATTTTCCCGGGACGGCTCAACTACCGCGACCTTGAGTCATTTAAGGTTTGCCAAGTTGACACTATACTAAGTCGAACTTCGATTTCAACTTAATAGCTTATATAGCGATTATTTTTTTACTCTTAGACTTTCAATGTAGGATGTACTATAAGATAATTAAAATTGTATGCAGGGTTGTGACGGTGGAATCCTCCTGAACGACACGGCCAACTTCACCGGAGAACAAGGCGCGGCCCCAAATAGTAACTCTGTGAGAGGGTTTGAAGTTATAGAACTCGCAAAGCGTAATGCCAAAACCAAATGCTCCGACACCCCCGTCTCTTGTGCCGATGTTTTAGCCATTGCTGCTCGTGATTCCTTCACCAAGGTAATTAACTTTTATTTCAAGAATAAATATCGGGTCTAACTCTTAAATTAAAACATGTGCATGTAACATTGTCTCGGGTGCGTTACGTACGTGTAGAATGTGACACGCGTTCAGCTTGTCTAAAATTTTACATTACAGTTCACAGGTCGAACTTATAACGTGACGATAGGCGCCAGACGCGACGCAAGGACGGCGAACCTCACCGGAGCCAACACCCAGCTTCCGGCGCCGTTCGACAGCCTCCTCGTCCAAACCCAGAAGTTTGCCGACAAGGGGTTCACCCAGAGGGAGATGGTTGTTTTGGCAGGAGCGCACACGGTGGGATTTTCCCGTTGTGCGATCGTGTGCCAGAACAACAGCATCAACCCCAATAGAACCGCCACCCTGCCATGCAACTGCTCTGCCTCCACCCTCACCGGCTTGGTCGGGCTGGACCCGACTCCCGCCGCTTTCGACAACCGGTATTTCCGGCAGTTGGTCAGCGGTCAAGGCCTCCTATTCTCAGACGCCGAGCTGATGACAAGCAACACGACCGGCACCGTTGCTAGGAGGTACAGGGATGCCACCGGCGCTTTCCTCTCCGACTTCGCCGCCGCAATGGTGAAGATGAGCACCTTGCCGCCCTCCGCCGGGACTCAGCTTGAAATTCGTGACGTGTGCAGCCGGGTCAACGGCAACTCTGTTGAGTCTATGTAGATGGTTATATATATATATATATAATATTTTACCCCTACCTTGTTTGTTTTTACCCTTTCTGGTGAGTCAAGTGCTGTAAAAGACCCGTGGTGAGAATCCCACTTTGAACGTGAGATTATCACTCTTTTTAGTATTAAAGATAATAATAATAATAATAAGGGCTTTGTTTTTGTGTGATGATTATATATATGGTGACACAAAGTCACAAGTTTGTTGTAACTATATTTGGAGTTGTGATAAGAAACTAGTCGTACTTAAAGAAAAATTTATTTTGACGATTTCCCAAAGATAATAAAGAGTACAAATGAATGTTCAACGTCAAACTAGACAACACTTCGCAATTTCTCAAAATATATTTTTTTCATTGATAATAAAGGGATATTGGCTAAGTGTACTATTGGTAAGTTATTAGATTGAGAAAATATATATAATGAATTCATTAACACAAAAATTAAACTAGAATCCTATTTCAGATAAATTCGAATATTAGAATTTTTACAACTCAAAGGAAAGAGTTGAAAATGGAGATGGGAGAATACACAATAACAAAAAACTCATTAGGGTCTGTTTGGTACAAGGAGTTGATGAAATTGGAATTGAATTAGAATTAAAATTCTATGGGATTCAATTTCATAGAATTGAATTCACCAATTCCAATTCATTTTTTGCACTACCAATTCCAAATCCACATAATTTTTGTGCTACCAAACATGAAAATTGGAATTGAAGTCCTCAATTCCAATTACATAATTTGAAATCTGTGTACCAAACGGGACCTTAGAGTCTCACAAAAAATAAGGTGTATGTATAGAAATCTTACTACTATTGGAAAGCAGAGAAGTTGTGTCTAAAAAGCCCGGTTACGTTCGAGCACGTCTATAATCGAAAAAATGAGTAATATGCATTGCCTGGGTGAGTTAGCTCAAAGCGATTAAAAGGGCATTTTGACCAGGATCAACTCGGAGCGAAGGCAGTACAAATCCTGTTTTTTTGTGCATAAGATCTTTGTTGAGATTAGAGAAAGATCACATTCTATGTTACCTAGTCTGAGATTTATTAATGTTTTTTTAGGTAACTGTTTCGATCAGAGTTTATTTATTTTGTATTAGGTAATTGTCTGAACCCAGATTGATAATCTATGATATGGGCCATCTAACTTGAAAAATAAGTAACATCTTTAGTGGGCTCTACTAACCAGCTCATTACTCAGGTATCAACCAAGTCGAGTTTAGAGACCAAAACATTCTTAATCATCAACCTATGAAATGAAAGGTGGAAACATGAGCATATTCTATGAATGTGCCTTAACCACGTCCCACAGCTTGGGACCAAAACAATAGTGCGCTTTACTTTTTTTGTAGTGTTATAAAGAGTAAACTTCACATTTTGTGGGAATGTGACAGAAAGAAGAGGAAATGTAAAGTGTCCCAAAAATTGTGATGGACACAGTTACATGGGTGGTCAAGGTGTACTTTGTCCGGTTTTCGGAACGGCAAAATCATATCCACAAACCTCTGATAGTTCCGATCTGATCTGTTCAGTTTTAAATTAGTTCTGATGTGTTATACTTCATATTATACTCCATACTATTTTTTGCTCGTTAATATTGTAAACCAGCCTTTAGAAATAGACAATAAGCAATAAAAAAACTAATCTCCCACAAAATGAGATTCTGGACCTGATCTTTGGGCAATTTCAGTTGCGCTTTTGAATCAGAACTTATCCATCCTTATCCGAGAATGCAAGTTTCGGTTCCAACACCTATATTTACGAACTGAACAAACAGTTTTGAAACCGAGTTTTAAAATTTAATTGCATTTATCGCTCTATATAACTACACGCTCTTTCTTTGTTGCATACTACCCCTAGTAGCTCAGGAAACTAGGAAAGCGACGGAATTGCCTCTGCGTAGGATAACCTACATGAAGTTAGGATGGAGTCGTTCAGGTGGGCATGCAAAGGGGAGGAGTGCAGAGGTCTCAATTCAGATACAGGAGATTTACCCGTGTTTAAGTCATGCTTTGTGTGTTCTTTACTTTCGTGCTTATTTTTATCTACTGGGTTAGGATGCCTTAACCCGGCCGGTGACATAATTCTTTTACCTTGTGAAATTTACACCATCATAACCTATGCCTATGTGTTTTCTGTGCTTTGAGTCTTGCACTAATGTCATTGTATGTGCTTATCTGTGCTTTTGTGTTTGAGTCGAATCTGAAACAGTCTCCCTACTTTCAAGTACAACCTCTCAGCCCCTACTAATGTCTTATGTGATTCTACTAGGATTGCCCTTATTGCATACTACCTCAAATGTTGCAATGAAATATTTTAAATAAAAGTGTTAAATAAAATTATGGCCAATAATCAATCAACAAAACTAGAAGGATTTTTTTTTATACTTCTTTGACTAAAATGAAGATTACCAAACAGTTCCTTCTCAGAAATTCCAACAAATCCAGCAACTTTAGACAATTTTACCCTTACCAGAACATTTTAAATTTGTGGAACATAGAGCTATTAGTGGGTAAACTGAGCATCAACTTATAGCAAATATTCAGCAGTATAGATATATAAACAGAAAATGCATGCATTTCAAGGTTCTTCAGAGGATAAATGAGGGAAGAGAATCTTTGTAAAAACAAATCTGAAAAGTATACTTTCTTTGGTACATGGATAAGCAATGCAGCCTGGTGAAGAAGAAGAAGACCAACCGGTTACAAAACAAACTCGGAATTACCATTTCTGTCCCTGGCGGTGGCACTGACACTCGACACCCAACTGCAGCCTTCTGTTCATCTGCTCCTAAACATCATCTATCTCCAAACTCTGTTTGCTCAAGATGTGTTTCCCAAATCTGCACACAACCATATGAATGTTTAGCCAGATATTTTTTGCAAATCTGGGTGAACAAATGGGGTATTTGCATCATCTTTGAAATTGTATCATACAAGAAATTACTTCATGCATATTCATGAATGTAGGGTCTCCGGAGGGTGTGTGTCATGTGGGTATCCCTACTTCAGGGTGGGTAGAGAGACTGTTTCCAAGAGACCCCAAACCCAACTCAAACACGAGTATATTCATAAACATCTCACCACACTACGACGAGTCGACATCTTCTGACAACACATATTGATCAAGGAGAAAATGCTAAGGTAATAAAAATGAAAACATAAAAGGTAGTTTTTGGGCGAAAGAATAAAGTCGAGTTCTTTGATAAACTGATCTGCAATATACTCCGTAGTAAGGTTTTGTAAAGATTACTACTTCCATCCCATAAAAAAGAGTTCTTTTTCACAAAAGTGCAATTTGTAAATTTCACTAAGTTACAAAAACGATCCAACTTAGTCACACAAGTGGGGGGTATAGGGGTTGAACGTATGCAAACCTTAACCCTACATATAAGGTGTAGAGGTTGTTTCCGAAAGTTCCCGCGCCAAGAGGACAAAAGAAAACATATTAGCACAGTAATGTACCTCTATTGGAAATCAAGAAATACAGCTATCGAAAAAAGTACTGTAAAAGTCCTCTTTTTTGAAGTCCCTGTACTTTGTAAAAATGTTCAAATTAATCCATGTACTTCTAATTGAAGCAATTTAGTCCATGCACCATTCTTTTTTGTTCCATCAAGTCCTTCGCTTCACTTTTTCTCTTATATATTGCCATGAATGCTAATAATGATGTCTAAATTTACTATGTATGACAAAGTAATGTTGTCTTGGCATGCTAAGTTATATTTTTAATATAATTTTAGTCATTAAAAAATAAATAATTTTATCCCTATATTTTTTCATTAAAGAAAATGAATAAACAAATGCATATTGCACTTGGTTCACCTTTAATAAATTTTTTTTTAAAAAGTTACAGTGAAAATTAACTTCGTTTGTTCAAATAGGACTCTTTTTGGGGCCAAAATCCTGTTTTCAAACAACTCTTCCCAAGAGAATAACTTGCAAGTGAGTGTGGCATTGACTAAGTATTGTTACTCATACTCCATACTTCAGATTTTCAGAATAATAACCTTTAAGAAAACTAAAACAGTTGCTTCATGATAAGAACACATTTCATACTTACCATGTTGGCATGACAAATTTAAGTATATCAATCCATGGAAAGCAATGGAAATAGGGAACTGTTCATGACAGATTTCCACAACATCACTGCAGTACAAGATGTTGCTTCCTCTCTACAGAAGCAGATCTATGATGCAAATTATAAACATGAACCCAAAACAGTTGAAGAAAAAGGCATTTTTGAGCAAGCCAATACAATTCTAATATTTAAAATGTGTAGTTCATTTGAAAAAGAGGAAGAGGAGGAAATACCATGTTTAAATCGACATTCACACACAAACCAGTATGCAAAACACATTTAGTTCTAGTTCATCCCTTCATCTGTGAACTCAAATTGCCAATGGGGTTAAAAGAGTCATTTTTGACAATATTTTAGATTCGGGTAAATAACGGATAAAATTAAATGACACGTTAAACTTCTGTTTGATGAGTTTTTGGGAAGTGTGACAACGTATAAAGGGTCTAACGGAATCAACCTCTCTGTTTTTCTAGGGTTAAAGTTGCATACATCATACATCTTGACTTTATATTTCAAAACCTTAAAAGAAATGGGATTATACTGCGTTTGTTGTTCTTGTTAACTTATACTCCACAATATCAACTTATAAGGTACACGAAATACTCAAATTTTGCTGAGTTTTTTGCTCCACATAACCATCAAAACGGAGTATGACCTCTAAAACCTCCAATATAAGCTTCCATGGAAACCAACATCATTGAAAAGATAGTATGGAGAGTGAACACCAATCTTCAAAGTTCAAACCCTTCTTTTACACTCAGACAATATAGCATAGCTAGGACAATCAAACCAAATAAATGTCATACACGATTGAGCAAAACAAAGCATTCAAATAGATATCAAGCAACAAATGGCTGACTAGAATGATTAGCGATGTAATGTAGACTCGGATGATTCTAAAAGCCACTCTGCCAATATGTAATCCATGAGTTTTTCTCCTTCAAATTGACAGTACAAATATAATTCAAGCAATATACCCAATTAACAGCACTCCCCCAAACAATTTTTCTGTAAAACATACAATTAACAATGATCATAATGATGTCAAAAGTTTGAAACCACATTTGGGGGAAAATGCACATTGCACTATATATTATAATAACACACTTAATTACTAATCTAATTAAGAATTAACAAACAACCCCTGAAATTAGTTTACTGAGTAAGCATAAAGATTCAATCTTTTGGGTGATATAAACACATAGAGTATCAATTACCTGCAGTTTTATCGGAGGCGTCGTGATAGATGGGTTCTTCCTCAGGCACGGGAGGAAGCTCCAGAATGTCCTCTTCGGCGGCGGTGGTGTATTTGGTGGGGCCCACAGAGGCATCTTTGTCATCAGGGTATCTGACCACAACCACAGGGCAAACACAATGTTGGACGCAGTAATCGCTGACGCTACCGAGCCTGCCTTTCCCACTTCGCCTGGAAGCTCCGAACCCTCGGCTGCCCATTATCACGGCGCTCAGCCCAAGCCTCTCCACCTCCAGGCAGAGCCTCTCCTTCATGTCGTGGTCCTTCACGATATGGATCTTGAACGGAATATTGGCCTCGACCAGCGGCTGGGACACGTCGTTCGCCTTGGAGGTGGTGAAATTGTCGAAATCGTCCTCCAGCTTCTGCTGCGACGCCTCGTCGCCGTCTGGCGCGGCGTCCGAGACGACGGACAGATCGACGGCGCCCCAATCGGCGCCGTACAGGACGGAGGTGGGCCGGACGTGGAGGAGGATCACGGCGTCGCCCGGCCGGAGGTAGTTCTGGACCGCCCATCTCACGGCGTAGGCGCTCTCGTCGCTGAGATCTACTGCGATCGCGATCTTGCGCTGCGCTCCGGCGGTGGGTGTCCCGGAAGGAAAGCGAGGGGAGGCTGGTTGGTGGGTGATCGCCGTCGGTGGGCGTTGGGAATTCACCGCCGGCGGCTTTTTCGGCGACGCCATCATTTGATGAGATTCGTTTGGGAAGTTGATTGGTACGATGATGATGGTGCTTGATCGGTAAGCGATTATGCGGCTGTCCCTTTCTCACCAACGTCGAATTTCCGAGTATACGATGCCGCCTGGTGTGGGTAAAAGTATAAAACCGACGCTCTGGTTTGATCGAATAAGAGGGTGTTTGGAAGAAGTAAATTTAATAAAAGTTGGAAATAAAAACTGCGGGCTTCTAGTGACACCGGAATACGGCGGAGTGGGGCTGAGGGTGCAGGGGCGGGGTAGGGTGGCCTGGGTGGGGGTTTAGGGGTGGATTAGGGGGTAGGAACAGTCAATTTTACGAGTAGAGTACCGGAGGTGCCCCAAAATGCCGGTGTCACTAGAACCTCACCGAAATAAAAACAGTGGGTGTTTATGTATAAAATCACGGTAGAAATCAGTAGAAATTCCCCAAGTTAAATTATTAAAAAATATCATACTGTTAAATACCATCAATATCATATCTGCCAAAACATTATTTTAGGTTTATATTACTCCCTCCGTCCTATAATGTTCTTCCCGATTCTGTTTACGAAGTTTGACCGACTTTATTTTTAATTCAATTGATTTGATTGTAGGTGTAAAATTAAAAAATAAAAGTTATATATTTAAAAACTACATCAAAAGTTCTACACAACAAGTGGTGACAAGACTATATTATTTTATCAAATACCTAATGAAAATAGGTAAAGAAAGTGATTAAAGTTTGACCGTGTGAATAGTAAGTGGGAAGAACATTTCAGGACGGAGGGAGTACAAAAAAAAGATAATCCTCATTCTAGAGTAACTCTTAAAATCAGCCAAACAAAAGGTAGGGCATACGTCTCTTATTTGTAGAAATCATATGTTTATCATAGATATCTCTTGACACATTTATCAGGAATCGAACTTGAGTTTACCTTTTTTGACACCTCTTACTCAACCAACTTACAAATAAGAGTAATATATAAACCTTCTCACTTTGCACAAAACAAAACAATATTAAAATTAATAAAACATGGAGTAAAAAAATATTTTAACATTGTGAAAATGTTAATACTAGTATTAAGAAGATTCATTAAGTTTTGATGAACTTTGGGCATTGATAAATCTATAAAAAAAAGCTACTAAAATGCAAATTAAACTGATAGAATTTGGAATGGGTATGGATAACTGGATTGAGTAATAAGACATTTGGGCTGAACCACATTAAAAGATTGAATCCAATCGATTAGTTAGTTCAACTCAAGATCTTATATACCAATTATTTTCTTCACACTTTCCTGATGTGGGATACTTTTAACATTCCCACTCAAGTGGACAATCAGGTCATTTTGAATCTAACCGGTTGACCATTTGCAAATGAACTCCCATTCCTTTGACTTTTTTTGAGCGCCAATAGCTAAAGGACCACGAGCCGCTGGGTATAGACTTCTAGACGAGCAATCGTGTTAAACGAGCCACATGCCGTTGAGTACATACTTCATACGAACAATTGGGCTAAAGACTAACGGGCCGCTAGGAATGAACGTCTAGACAGACGGTGGGTCAAAACCTGCTCTGATACCATGATAGAATTTGAAATGGGTATGGACAACTGGATTGAATAATAAGACACTTGGGCTGAACCACATTAAAAGATTGAATCCAATCGATTAGTTAGTTCAACTCAAAGCTTATATACCGATTATTTTCCTCACACTTTTCCGATGTGGGATATTCTTAACATAAACCTTTATAACTTGTGTATGTTTTGTCGCTCTAGCAATGTTTTTGCTTAGAAGCTGGCTCACCGTGCTAAGGCGTGATATGATTTGTGAGAGTTTTTTCCTCCATGCTTTCTTTCTTGTTGAGTTCGTAATAGAGTTTGGTTAAGCTTTCAACAACAGAAATGTACACATACCCCCAACACTAAGGTGGCTAGATCCACCACTGACCTAAGGTCCATCAAAGAATTTATCTAGATGTATACACTCTTATTGTCTCTTGTAAAACTAACACTCTTTTTTAGGATAAAAACAAGTATTCCTCATTAAGAACTATGGTGCTAATATCAGTAAACACCGCATTTAGAGGCTGTTTGTTTCAGCCTCTTAATGGTTCAGATGTCTGAATGGTTCAGCACATAATGGTTCAGACTGTTTGTTTCAGCCTCTTAATGGTTCAGATGTCTGAATGGTTAAGAGATTTGCTTCTGAATGGTTAAGTATTATACAGAGTCTGAATGGTTAAGAGCTCTTATCTGAATTGATCAGACATTTGCCTCTGAATAGTTAAGCAATATACTAGCTCTTAATGGTTCAGACCTCTTACGGGTTCAGCACTTAATGGTTCAGACCTCTTACTGGTTCAGCACTTACCTATTCAAAAGTTGCCAAACAGCCCCTTAGTCTTAGCCCACCTAATTAGTAAGAACATAAGCCACTGCATTACAACTAGGAAAATGCTAGGGTGCCACCACATGAGTGTTACCATGAGTGCACCCATGCTTCACACTGATAAACACAGATGATAAATGTCTGTGTCGCACAAACAATTATTTTCTGTATTTGTCTGTGTGAAGCATAGGTGCACCTATGGTTCACCCATGTGATGACACCCTAGCATGGTCCTTACAACTATGGCGAACAAATGAAAAAGATGCAACCTGAAAATCCTATGTGGGAGTGAAGTGAATGGGGATGAACAATGCCCTTTTCTTCCGTGAAGCTTGCGCGCAAGCCTTTATAGTGACTACTGAGCTAGTATTTTACTCCACTCTTGTCCACCATAGATCTTCTCAGACACTATTCAAAGGGTTAAACTTTACTCACTTTGTTTGCTCATTTTTACTAGTCATTTCGTAAAATAATATAGTCTTGTCATCTCTAGTTTTGTAGAACTTTTCATGTAGTTTATTACTATATAAATTTTATTTTAAAATTTTACTCCTATGATCAATTAAATTGAATTGAAAATGAAGTCGGTCAAGTCTCATAAAACGTAATGGAAAGATCTTAGGTGGACGTAGGGAGTATTTTTTTTGTTTCTTTTTATTTCTTTTTCCAATTTTTTGTTTAGTATTTTCTTTGATTTCTACGTGGATCTTTTTGTTTCAGTTTTATTTTTAGTATTTTTGTTTGTATTTGGTTTTATTTAGTTATTTTGGAAAATTTCTGAAATAATTTTCTGGGCTTCATTTTTTTTCCAATTTCTTAGCAATATTTTACTCCATCAGTCCCTAAATATTTACGACATTTGATTTTTCAGCAGTTGCGAGAACTTTTGTTTATTTCGACGTTTTCATTGGTTATTTAATAAAATAAAATATTCTTGACACCTCTTATTTCGAAAAAAATTTCATGTAGTTTTTTTAAATGTAAATTTTATTTTTTATTTTTATACTAATATGTAAATAAAATGAATTGAAAAAAACTTAATATTTTACTTTGTGAATACAAATGTGGCAAATAATTTGGGACGGAAGAAGTATTTATTAGACTTTTAAAAAATTATTTAATACTCCGTATCTTTATTGAAAAAACATAGCAATTTCTAGTCCGAAAGACACAAAGATTGCAATTTCTAGCCCTTCAAAAAAAACAAAAGATAGCAATTTCTAGGGTTCTATTTTTCCCTCTCCAGTCTCCAAAATCGGTTCTTTTGATTGACAAGATTGGGCAAATTTTTTGGCCTAATCCTTCAACGAGATCGAAGGATGCCACAGAGACACTCGAAGAACAACAACGATCTCGCCTTCTTCACCTACGACGAGAAGCGGAAGCTCGGATATGGGACTCAGAAGGAGCGGCTCGGGAAGGATTCCATCAAGCCCTTCGACGCCTGCTGTCTCTGCTTGAAGCCTTTCATCGATCCGCTGTGTTGCCAGAAAGGCCATGTCTTCTGCAAGGAGTGCATTCTCGAATGCCTCTTGTCTCAGAAGAAAGACATCCAAAGGTACAGTCTTGGAAACTCTTTTAACTTTAATTTGCTTCGAGTTTCTGTATGTGCTTCCAATTGATATCATCTTTTGGTTGTATAGTTTGTGTGTAGATGGACTGGAAATTTTCAATTTGAGACAGGTTGAACTGTTCTTTGCTTTCAATTTCAGTAGACCAATGCAGACTATTAGTCCATAGGTGAAAGCCATTTGTTGAGTTGACCACTTAGTTTTTTTTAATGAAAGAGTAGGGGGTAATGTGATATATTTGAACTAAGCTTATGAACCCTAAATTAGGGAGTTGATTGTTGAAGTGGCACTATTGTACATTATGCAGTTATGCACTAGTCATTATCGTATATCCGATAGAGTTTCTAGCCTTCCGGTGGCCTTAGGCGGCAAATTTGTTAGGGCCTTTCTTGTTGAGAGTGCGATAGGTGATAATCAATTGTAATATTTGATGAGCAGCAAGATATGTGTGACTTGAACGGGATCAACTTCTTAAACTTTGGACATTTGGGTTACATTTATCAATATCATATGATATGCCTAATGCATGCTTTAAAAATTGGGCACCATGCTTAGTTCGCCTAGGCCTCGAGACGTCTCTTTGTTTATCAGATCAGCAATACAATTGGGAAATTCTTTTTTTTTCTCTCTCAGGCCGCATGTTTGCCTATTAATTGGACTGGTAAAAGACAGTGTTTGATAATACATTTGCATATTGTTTGCAAGCTTATATTTCGTGATCAAGGAATTTAAACATGAATTGCCAGTACTACACTTATTTTGGGGACTCTATGAGCCCTATTTAAAGCCACTGGTCAGTGCTTTTCACTAGACAAAAATAGATTTAAGTGGAATCTGGAAAACTGGAATAAAAAGTTGAAAGGAACTTGGCCTTAATGGTCCATGGGTTGGATTTACTTGGATAAGCTGATCTAAAAGAATATATCTTTCCCAGATATGATATCCGTGGTTGAAAATATGCTTGGTCACTTTTTACTACATAACAATTTCCTTTATTTTGCACATCGTATACTTGTATGTTTTTTATCATTTTATTGCCTTTTTGGCTTTTTATGAAACAAACTAGGCACAGGCTTATATGCATCACTGTTCTGCATGCATAAAATTGCACTTGTAACATTGCAGTTGACCCTAATAGTCTGTGCTTTTGGTGCTTTTAATTATAATGATCATCACTACCTTAATCCAACTGTGATGGGGTGGGCAATATAAAAGTTGTAGTGTCAATTAAAACCATTTGACACTATCCATTCATCTAGAACATCATTGTATCCAAGTTTTACACTGGATTCCTTTCGCGTGAAGCATGCATGGTGAGATAAAATTCTAAAATTGCCAACATCAGAAGTTTGTCATTTTCACAAAATATATCACGAGACAGAGTTGATATATTGATTCAGGCTTGGGGAACAAAATCAACATATGTGTCTTCATTATATTATTCATAGTACTAGTTTCCTATTGTTAGTATTAGTATTCTTTTTATTCCGGTACTCTCTTTTAGCTACTATTTGCAATAGATTATGAATGTATACTTCCTCACGTAAGATTCCTCTTTGGACTAGCATAAGTTGGGATTTTTTAACTTCGTCATCAATGATATAAGGTCGAGTCTCTGGACCTTGGGGGTGAAGGACAAATCTCTTCCTTTGACTTTTTAAAGAACAAGCTTGTCTTTTCCCAGCAGTGGTCAAAACAGATACTCTGCAGATGCTATAGAAATCCAAAAATTTGTGAAGGAAATATATGCTTGGAATATTAAACTGACAGTGAGTTGATGTTGTAGAAAGACAACAGCCCACGCTGCACAGAAGAAACAGGAGAAGGAAGAGGAAGAAGAGAGGATGATGCTGCAGAAGGCCAGGGAAATCGAAGCCTTTGATCAACAAAACCATGGCGCATTGCCCCACGGCTACAGTGACAAAAACCTCATCATGGACAAGAGTGGTGGGTTCCACGGAGCAAACAGTGTTAAAGCAACCGCCTTTGAAGAGGAAGCCCTCCGCACCATGAAAGCCTTCTGGCTTCCCTCCGCCACCCCGGAGGCGCCATCTAAAGTTGACGCCCCTTCCGGAAATACCCTTTGCCCTGAAGGGAGGGAAAAGCTGAAGATGAAAAACCTCTTCCCTATACACTTCACAGAAGATGGGAGCGAGAAGAAGAAAGTGAAGTCGATTGATAAAACGTACATATGTCCCAGTTGCAAGGTCACACTAAACAACACTCTTTCCCTAGTTGCCCTCAACACGTGTGGGCATGTTTTCTGCAAGAAGTGCGCGGGAAAATTTGTTGCCGTGGACAAGGTTTGTGTAGTCTGCGACAGGCCGTGCAAAGACAGGAATCTGGTGGATCTGGAGAAAGGCGGGACCGGGTTTTCGGGCCACGGGGATCATTTGGAAGCAAAAGAATTCAAGCATTTGGGAAGCGGGTCAGGATTGGGTTTAGTGAGGCCTGCAATGAAGACATGATCATGGTGTGCAGTTAAGAATTGGTGTGCCTCTTTGTTTTCACTCTGCTGTTTGATTGCTCAACCAATTCGACTTAGAATTATGCTTGAAGCAGCCTGCTTTTGACACCATTCTTCTTACAAAGATTCACACACACACACACACACACACACGAAACGTCGGATGCTTGGGAATCACTTAGTCTCAAAGTTAAGGCGCACTTGGCAGTTTTCATTGGACTAAACGTTACTTTTATAGAGATGTGGAACAATGTTTGTTTTTGGGAGAGATTGTACAACTTCTTGAGAAAAATATGGAAGGTAAATTATGTTGAATATGTAGTGTACTTTGAATTTCCAACAATATTTTTGAAGATACTCTCTTGATCATGTATTTGTGCTTCCTTTTTTAAATACTATGAACTCTATTACAATGTGTTATTTGCTCATTTGCATACTCAAAGTTTTGAAACCGTTTACTTTGTCGGGTTTGAACTCATCCACAATCCTTGGAGGTGGTCTTTTTGTTTCTCAAGTCAGGAGAAGTTTGTGCTTGTCCTATTTTTAATTCAGGAATAAACAAAAATAATAATGCTTCGCTTTTTTTGCAGTAAAGTTCCGTTGTCACTGGTACCTAATATCAACGGATGATAGTCGCCCTACAACTCCCCCTCCCACTGGACCCCACCCTATCCTCACTCCTTTACCCCATCCAATGTATGGTAGTTATGCATTGCATAATTAGTCACATTTGGGGGCAGGGTTAGGGGGTTGAAACCAACATTTTTGCGAATGGAGCATTGAAAATATTTCAAAAAAGACTTGCACCAGAGTGTCAACGTACTCTGATGTCAATAGAACTTTGCCGTTTTTTAGTATATAATACTCCGTACTTGTTATATTTAAACAATAATTATAGAGCCACAACAATAATATTAAGCATTACTAATAATAGATGTACCTTAAAAAACAAGCTTGGTTATAACGACACTAAGGAAGAGTGGCATATTATGACATTGGTCAAATTGAGGTATTAGGGAATTGAACATAAATAATTAATTTTAAGATTGAAACAGCGTAAGGAGCAGTGTCTCAATATGACACCAAAAGTTCGTGTCAATATAACCATGGGGTAAAAGAATAACAAAAAAATAATTCTAGGGTGCATTCTCGATTCCTAAATTCTTGGAAAATCAACTGCTACATTAGCGGTTAAAAACAGTTTTTTTTAAATATAATTATCTCGTCCGTATATTATTATTGCGTGCCCTATGTCGTCCGTACACCGTACACCACAATTATACATTCTCATATGCAAGCATGCTTGCAAACATTTCTGATTCTCCTTAACAGATTTACATTAGAAACTAGGTACTGTGGTTAAAAGACTTTGATCATGATGTTTGGAAGATTGTCGCCGTGTATGAGGGTGGCCCATGGCGGAGCCGCCGCCGCTTGTCGTCGGGTAATAATAAGGAATTGGCACAAAGATGGCGGGAGCATGGTGGAGGTGGCGTGGGAAAAGCCGAAGGTCGGGTGGACGAAGTTGAACTTCGATGGGTCGTGCAGATGGGAGACCGGTGCATCCAGCATCGGCGGCGTGTTCAGAGACCACGACGCCGAGTTCCTGTTCGGATACGCCGAGCCCATCGTTGGGCCCGTGTCATCGTCATCCGACAGTAATGTTGCTGAGTTCGCGGCGCTGCGTCGGGGCCTCCAGATTCTCACGGAAGACGACAACCGTTGGATTACTCAAAAAGGTCATATTCATGAGCGCTTCTTTGTTGTACATTGGGTGGATATCAATTTTACGGGCTTTTTCACATTAAAAAATCTCTTTTTATTTTTGTTACTTTAAAAAACAAATGCTAAAGAGATGTTTATTTTGTTCATATGTAAGAACATGACAAACCTTAGTTCCACCATAAAATTTGCCCACATTCATTACCCGGGGGCTGGATCAGATTGTGCAAGATGCTACTCGTACATGGCTTCCAATTTTATACTCCCTCCGTCCAAAAATAAACTTCCCGTTGCGCGTTATGATGTTTGACTCGAGTTATTTTCAGATCATTTTATATGAAAATGGTGTAAAATTTAAAAATAAAAATTACATATTAAAAAAATATATCAAAAGATCTACAAAACTAGAGGTGACATGACTATATTATTTTATCAAATGGGTGACAAAAATAGGCCAACAAAGTGAATAAAGTTTGACCCTGTGAATAGTGAATGGAAAGTTTATTTGTGGACGGAGGAAGTATGATTAAATATTTTAATTTTGAGGTTCATGCATCAATGGAGTATCGTTATTATTTGAGATTCTTACAATTAATTTTTTGAATGTATAAACAAACTCTTTCCTCCCAAAAAGTGTTCATTTTTTTTCCGTCTCATTTTCAATCATTCCAAAAAACTCTTCATCTTTCAATTTTTTAAATACATAAATACTCCATCTGTCTCAGTATATTTGTCCAGTTTGACTTTTTCGAGTCAAATTGGACAAATTTTGAGCTTCAATTAAAAAACAATCGTAATGTATTTTGATATAAAAATGACTTTATTGGATTTATCCTATTAAGAACTTTCAAAATTGTATTACATTATGCTAATATGCAATATAAATTGAGAGTAATTGAAGTTAAAAGTTTGTCGAGTTTGATTCGAAAAAGTCAAACTGGACAAATATACTGGGACGGAGGTAATATAATACACTCCTTTGACACAATGATCGTTTGTTAAGTTTGTTACCCGTATTTTACAGTCTAATTGAACCAACTTTGATTATTAATTGAATGAATATTAATTACTCTCTCCGTCCCGTATGTAAAACCTTTTTTATTTTGACTTTTAAGATGCATAAAACTTTAGAAGTTCGACCAAAGTAGAACGCCGATGATTGAATAGAATATGGCCCGGAAAATGTCAAAATAGATAGAGGTAGAAAGTAGTTGCATATTGAGATATATTCGATTAGATTTTATAAAAAGTAAATGTAATTATATTCATTTAGTTCAAATTGAAATGATTTATGGGACAAACAAGATTTGAAAGTTGAAAAGTTTTACGAGACGGAGGAGGTACATTATATATATTAACAAAATAAAATATTTTTTTGAAAAATGTTTTGACGGTCACAATTTATTTAGTTTAACTATAGAAAAATCATACGTACATATTTGGACAGAGGTGCATTAATCTATTTGTCGCATCATATTCTATCTCAGCAAAGCATAAACCAAGGATAAAATAAATATCACTAAAATTTCAGGCACATTGCATAATAATCTATGGATAGAAGGAGACTCCAAGAATTTGGTTGACGCCGTGTTGCACCGAGAGCCACGCCGCCGGCGGTTTAAGTGGGAGGATTTTCAGGAGCAGGTGGAGGAGATAAGACTGATGATCAGACGCCTTAAGACGTTCTGCCGCTGCGATCTGACGCATGTTTACAAGGAGGGGAACAGAGCGGCACATAAATTGGCGGAGATCGGCCACCGTCTCCAATCTCCCCAAGTATGGCGCCGCCTTGCTCCGCCGCCGCAACTTCTGCCCATTCTCAGCCAAGATGCGCAAGCCAAGGTTATTCAACGTAGAATTCGACACACAAAGTTATGTTAGTAGATTTCTACCCGTGCACCAAATAGTATTTGATATTTATTACTCCCCCGTTCCACACAATGCTTCCCTTTTGTTTTTTTGCTTTCCACAAAATAATTCCATTTTTTATTAAAAAACCATTTTTATCCATATTTCTCATACCTTACTTATCACATCATACTTTTTTACTAATAACCAAACTATCACATCTTACTTTTTTCCATCACATCATGAACAAAATTGGAAAGTCAACCAAAATTACACTTTCCTTATTTTTGCCCAAAGTCAAAATAAGAATGGATTTGTGGAACGGAAGGAGTAGTACTAATATGAGAGATGCTAGGGGTACACCTTTGGTGTACCCAAATATCTCCACCCCCTCTATAACCATTCATTTTTAATTTTCTTGCCTATTTTAGTGGACAAGGAGGGGGTGAGGGACATTTGGGGTACACCTTTGGTGTACCCCTAGCATTTTCCTACTAATATTAATAGTTTAGTACTTCCTTTGTCCAGTGGCGGACTCGGGAATTTCGGTGAGTGAGTTCACATTGTGTGCACAAAAAAAAAAGTATACTTTTTGGTTATTAGTTCTGCGATCATAACCATCTCATTTACGAATTGGAGCACATAAGTTTAACATGAAAAATGTTTCTTGTGCTCCTTTCTGACATCGGGTGATCGATCCAAACTTAGGTGATCGATCCCCTGACGATTCTTACGCGTTTTTGGATCCGCTTTAAGCTATGAGATGGTTCTAAAAGTGTTGATATTAATTATATGTAATTTAATTTGAATCACCAAGTTGTTTAGGGATATTATAGGGTCTTTTTGGCATATTTATAGCATTCTCCGGTGTCGAGGATTCATGGATATCAAGTTGAGCATTTTATCGAGACTATCGGTATGACTAATGTAGAATGACATGTAGGTATAGGAAATCATGTATTATAAATGATTCCAAGGAATCTAACGTCAGAACGAGTCTAGGGTATCTCAACACCAACGGACGTCATTATCTAGTTCTAGTTTTCTCTGATCTGTCTTGAGGTCTTCTCTTTGAATCTTGATATCGCAGAGGTATATGACTTAAGAAGAGCGTTAAAATGAGTATAATAACGATAGAAATGGAGTATACTCACTTAGTGTTACTAAAGAAGAATTGAAGATGACTAATGTTTGCAGGAACTTTCTATGTTTTTGGGAGTGGTACAATGAAGGAGAGGGCCTCCTTTTTATGGAGAAATCCGGGGTTAGGGAGATGTGGCTATCTCAACCACCCAACATCCTCCTCCACAACCATCCAAGAGAGTTGAAAAGTGGAGATGAATGTGTTCTGGTGGTTAGGAAAATATGAGTGTGTGAGATTGGGGTGATGGGATGAGAATATTGATTATTTGAGTGAGGAAGTCCTCGGATTATATGGGCGAATGAATGTGGGATTTGAGATAAAATCCTTGTTCCCGAAGAAATAGTTTATCTGTTTGAATTTCAGGTTATTTTCTAAAAAGAGTCCGATTACGAAACCGATTGCGTATTTGAACTTAGAAAAATAAATAAAATCCAACGATGTATTAAAAATATTTTTCCTAATTTTTTTTTTCAGGCCACTAGGGCTTACACGGTCAAAATCGACTATTTACGTAGTTAATTCTTCTAAACCGATTTTCGCGGCGTTACATGAAAACATTAGAACCTTCTTGAATATCTCCATGGTGATAGATCGATCAAGCTAGCAAATTACTTTTGCCCGGCTCCGATACCAATTAAAAGTTTGTGGGGGTGCACAACGGAAATCACAAACAAAGATAATATACACAAACAGATCAACTAAACGGAATGCTGCAGAAGCTGAAACATATGACAGACAGAGTGCTATAACATCTTCTTTGTCACAAGCACACATGCAGAATATAAAGTAAAAATAGTAAACAGTGCACACAAATTATTTACACAGTTCGGAGCAAATTCTCCTACGTCTACGTGGCCCACGTTCATGTAACAGCTTTCCCACTAAACCACTATAAGAATTACACAATCAATTACAACAGAACCTTCTAATGTATTGATTTGTCTACTTACGAACGACTTGACGATAAACTTTGTTCGCGTCTATCTCCACGGCTTGTTACACTTTCTCCAAGATATACTCCAATATGGACCTCTTTCTTGCCCAACCGCAAAAGTAACTACGATAAAAAAAATGCCAACACAATATGTAACTAACAATTTTCACCAATTTAGTTTCGATGCAAAAATATTTTTGTCCGTTTATGCATTCTACACATGATATTTACATATACATAGTTTCCATCAATCAGAAATGTCTAAAGATGTAAGACTAAACTAGTTGAGTAGAATTTTGTGTCATAGTAATAGCCCTTTGTGAGAGCAACGCATGTTTTGTTCTTGTCTTTGTGTGTTGTTTCTTGGTTTTTTACCCACACCTCTCACACTGTGTGTAGGATTCTACTAGATTTTTTTGTTATTATTGTTGAAGTGCTTTTGTGTATTTTTAGCCCATCCACAAAATTATTTTCCTTTTATGACAAAGAAATTAGTCTTAAATATCAAATTTACTTTGTATCTTTTTACTTCGAATGAATAGCTATCAAATTGTCACTTTATTGTTCGGTATTTTTCATCTTTCGTTGATGGGCAGTGCTAGGGGTACACTAACATGGGGTACTCCACATGTACACCAAGCCAACACAGACACAAAATATTTGTGCAGCACAGACACTTTGTATCTGTGTATGTCTGTGTTGGCTTGGTGTACATATAGGGTATCTCATGTTGGTGTACACCTAGGTTAATTCTTCGTTGATATGTATGCAATAGAAAATTCTTGATGGGGGAGTACAAATTTTGGATGTGAAACTTGAATTTTGAATTTGGTAGGAGGGAATACCAATCAACCCACTCCACTAGTATCTACCCAGAGGCTAATGACTTTAAGAATCCACTAATATTGTTGTATTTAAGGCAAAGAACCGTTTGCAAATTATCTTTTTTGTTCACTATTTATACTATTATAAATTTTATTTATTTTGTTTTCTTGTTTCTATCATTTATTTAATAAAATAATATTATCATATCACCTTTTTGTTCCTTAAAACTAATGACATATTTTTTAAAAAACAAATTACACATCAATTTTAAAAAGAATCAATTAAAAATAATTTTTGTTAAACATAAAAAAAAATTAACTTTTGATGGCAAGTACTCCGTATGAATCATATAAGAGGAATGCTAGGGTAGGGGTACACCAAATGGTGTACCCCATTTGTCCCCCACCCCTTTCTCCACCACTTAATTTTTTTTACTTTTATTTATTTAATTTTTTTTATTTTTTTGCCTTTTATTGTGGTGATGGAGGGGGTGAGGGACAAATGGGGTACACCTTTGGTGTACCCCTAACATTTTTCATCATATAATCATCCAGCCCAATCACGTGTACACCGGAAATTCATGCCTTCCCCATGTGCTTGCTGCTTTTTCTCAACCCCCAGCCTATTACCACTCAAAAAATCGCTCACTTTGGACGCCCTCAATTTTACTCGAAAAAAAAGATGAAACCAGATAAATCATTAACACTTGGTTATCAAGGCTTCTTTAAAAATGACTTCTTTAAGTTTTGCATGTGAAACCTTAATTCTTTTAAACTGGATGGCGTTGAGTTTTGAACTCATGACCACTTGGTGATCAAGGTTTCGGTACCATGTCAAGGAACCGACTAAACTAAAAGCTCAAGTTTGTGTTTGTGACCCAGAAATGATTTTTATATATACTCTAAAAACCAATTTAAAACTAACTTGAGAAAACGTAAATAAAACTTTTAGAATAAATATACTTGTACATCAAAAAGATTATATCTCAAAATGTAACCCAAAGGTTTATACTTACAATCTGTGTCAATATAAGTACAAGATTGATGAGTTACATTTATACAAAATGTACGTTAGTACAAAATTTTGCAATCACATAAATAGTTTTTTGTAAATGTAAGTCATCAAAATGTAAGTGTAAACCTCTGAGACATGTTTTAGGATACAATCTTTGGAGTGCATCTAAAATGGTTGAAATTTTCAATTAGAATGAGATCAATCTCTATTCAAACGGCAAATTCTATGATGAACCTAAGGTCCACCTGCGACCTTCATAGAAAGAAAATAACTACTCCATCTGGTCCTAAAAACATGTGAGTTATTGATTTTTAAGAGATTTTAAGGGAAATGTATTTTGGTATTAAATTTTCAAAAAAGTCCTTAGATGTGATGGGTAAAAGTATAATTTGATATATAGATTATTAGTAAAAAGGTATGATGTGATAGGTATGATTTAAAAAGTAAGGGACAAAAATGACTTTTTAATAGAAATAAAAAATATTTTGTGTGATGAATAAAAAAAGTAGAAAGGTTTTGAGAAACGCTGGGAATATTTCTTTATCATTAATGGACATTTAGTGAAATGGAGGGAGTATTTATTTGCCGAGGTGCCGTAGAAGCTAAACACCAAGAAAAAAAATGATTATGGGTACAACCCTAGTAACCCTAGATCCCTACCCACTCTTCCCTAAAAAGCCAATTTCAACACAGTAAAGTATAATCATGTGAGAATGATTATGATAATGATGATTGTGAAAGGCTAACCAACTCACAAAGTGCCATCAAGACTCAAGTTATTTCTCCTTAATGGAGGGAGTTTGAAATTATGAACAAACTATTGATGAATTATGTCATTCTTTCAAATTTTATAAAATTTTAAATGTACATCAAGATATAGACTTTTTTAAAAAAGCATCCATCCAAGCTAACCCTAAGCCTAAGGGAATGAATGCAATGTATACAGATCAATATGTCAGGGAAAATGAAAAAAAAACTGAAGAAGAAAGACAAAAAAAATAGAATCAAGAGTTGTGCCAGATTCCACTGAGGATGTTTTTGAATCTGTTGGAAGAAGAAGACAACTTCCTGACAATCTTTTTGGCATCCAAAGCATCATCATCATCTGCAAATTTCTCAATGATCTTCAAGTACCCACAACTGACAATCTTTCTCCTCACACTTTTGCACCTCATCAGAGCCACCAATATTGAAAGCAACAGTTTCTTGTTCCCAAACTCCTTGTGTTCAAGCATCTTCAAAACCAAGAACACATTTTCCTCATTCTTAACAAATCTCTTCCTGTTCCCAGCCAAAACCACCAAACCAGCCAATGTCTGAGCAGCCATTTCCCTGGCCTCCCAAGATTCATCAGAACCAAGAAACCTCAGAAGCTCCGGCATGATCCCGCCTTCCCCCATTGCT